CTGAGGGGAGCTTGCTTCTGATGATGAGGTTGGAGGGGCTGGGAGGTTGTTAGAAGGCCAGAAGAGTTTTGTGTAAGTTTCTCTCTCAACAGAAGTTAGTCCAAAAAAAGACATTACCTCACATACCTTTTCTCTATAAATTAGAAATTGATATTTTAAATCAGGGGTGGGCAAACTTTTTGGCCCAAGGGCCACATCTGGGTGGGGAAATTGCAGCAGTCATGAATGTAGGGCTGGGGCAGAGGGTTGGGGTGTGGGAAGGGGTGCGGTGTGCAGGAAGGGGTTCAGGGCAAAGGGGTTGGGGGGAAGGGGCTCAGGGCAGGGGGTTGAGTTGCAGGAGGGGTATGGGGTGCGGCAGGTGGCTCAGGGCAGGGGGTTGGAGTGCAGAAGGTGGCTCAGGGCAGGGGGTTGGAGTGCAGAAGGGGTGCGGCAGGTGGCTCAGGGCAGGGGGTTGGGGTGCAGGAGGGGAGCAGGGTGCAGCAGGAGGTTTGGGTGCAGGCAGGGTGTGGTAGGGGACTCAGGGCAGGGAGTTGGGGTACATGAGGAGTAGGGGGTGCAGGAGTGTGGGGGGGCTCAGGGCAGGGGGTTGAGGTGCGGGCTCCAGCCCTGTGCTGCTTACCTGGAGCGGCTTCTGGAAGCAGCCAGCACCACGTCCCCGTGGCCCCTGAGGGAGGAGGAGCAGAGGGCTCCGCACACTGCCCTTGCCTGTGGGTACCTCCCACAAAGTTCCCATTATCCGTGGTTCCCCGTTCCCGGCCAATGGGAGCTGCGGGGCAGGGGGCGGTGCCCTCTGCCTCCCTCCCCCAGGGGCTGCAGGGATGTGGTGCCAGCTACTTCTGGGAGTGGTGCGGGCAGTAGTTCACCCACCTGTTTTAAATCATGAAATGGTATAATTGTTACCTTTGTTTGTACAGCTTACCATAAAACATTCAAAACAAAGTTGTAACAGATGGGAAAAGAACAAAACTGTAGTCTAGTTTTCAATGATATTTTAAATTTACAAAGCTAGATGGCACAAACTGAACTATTTCAGTACACTGGAGTATTGATATTTTTGGAATGGCAACTGGTAGGTGATCACATATAATAGCATTCAGCTATGTAGAATTAAGAGTTATCTGCAAATAGTGAAATTAGCAAACAATTAACATATTTGTTGAGTTATCTAAATTAAAGATTTCATCATGTAAATATTTACATCTAGCTTTGCAGTTTCTTTTGCCAAGTGAAGAACAGTATCTTCCAAAGAATGGAACACTTGGGCCTAGTCTACACTACAGAGTTAGGTCAATGCAAGGCAGCTTAAGTCAACCTAATTATGTCAATGACTACACGACAATGTTTCTGATCTACTCAGTCAACTTAAGTGCTATGCCTCTTGCAGAGGTCAAGTTAAGTCGACATAGGTTGATGCAGTGGCAGTACAGACACTGCGTTACTTAACATCTACTTTAGTGGCTCTGGTCACTGTTTTGAACTCCGCTGCCCAGTGGCCAAGTACACAGGAATATGCCCCTCCTCTTTTAAAGGCCTGCACATTTTTGAAATTCCATTTCCTATTTGCTCAGTGTGGAGAGTTCACCTAGCTCCTGCCCAGCTAAGCATGCTGGCTACACGCTCCAAATGCACTCCTACCTGGAGTGCACAGGAGGTGGTGGAACTCCTGGTTCTGTGGGGAGAGGAGGAGGTACAGGCAAAACTCTGATCCAGCCATAGAAATATGGACATCTGTGAGCAGATCGCTTGAGGCATGAAGGAGAAGGGCTACAAGAGGGACCTGCAACAGTGCTGTGTGAAAGTGAAGGAGCTGCAGCAGGCATACCAGAAGGCAAGGAAGGCAAACAATTACTCCTGGTGTGGTGCAGCAGATATGCTGCTTTTACAGGGAGCTGTTTACAAGAGGTAGTGAAATAACCCGTGGAAGTAGTGTGGCTATCTGCTTCTCATTACCCAGCACAGTTAGGCAGAGGGGGCTCTGAAAAACATATGTGCACTGAGATATCCTGTGAATCCTCCATAGAGATCTCAAGGAAGCTTTCCTGTAAGTACTCTGCAATCTGTTGCTGAAGGTTTTTGGGAAGGCCTGCCTTATTTCTTCTGCCACAGTAGGACATTTTCCCATGCCACTCAGCAATTAATTGGGTAGGCATCATTGCAGCACACAGGCTAGCAGCATATGGACACGGTCTGCAGCTGAACACGTGTAGCAGCTGTTCCCTTTCCGCTTTCATTACCCTCAGGTATGAGATATCAGCTAAAGTCACCACTGCCTGTGGGAGACGGTGCTAGTATTCAGTTCAATTGCCTGATCTGCAAACACCAGTGCCCGTGTGCCCCCCACACTCCTTGTGCCAGCTCTCTGCCTTCTTCCTTCCAGGGCTGGGACTGCCACCATGGTCTATGAATACCTGGCTGAAGTTAAAATGTATGGCTTTAAACTGGGGTGGATTAAAGGGAGTGATTTCCATATGCTTGGAGTATGCACTCACAATAGCACCTTTAGGCATTGTATCTTTTGCAGCTGCAAATGTGGCCCTCACCTCCACACCAGCAGAGAGGCTGAGCCAGATGAGGAGGAGAAGAAAGGGAATGCAGGATGACCTGTTTCTAGAGATCATGCAAGCCTCTGGAGCGGCAGACACTGAGCAGAGGTAATGGAGGATCACTCTCTGACGAAATGGGCAGGGACACTGAAGACAGAAGAAAAGCTCAGGAGAAGGAGCATGATGCACAGCAGATGATGGTACGCATATCCTTCAGATGCGCTATCTATTGCCCCACCGCAGTTCAGGAACCCCACTGCAGCAAAACCATCCACTATCTCCAGCACACTGCCCAACTCCAAATTGTTTCCTGACTGACTAGTAGCAGTCAGGCATTAAAAGCTTCCACACAGTGATCACAACTTGCTTCTCCACTGTCAGGGCAGGTCTCATTTGGGTGTTGCTGTGCAGGAGGGCTGGGACGAGTTCCGCACACAGTTCCAGGAAAGAAGTGGCCTTGTGCATCCAAAAGTTCTGCAGCCGCTGCTTGTCATCCCATACCTGCATAATGATGCGAACCCCATCAGTGCTCGTTTCTCGAGACCAGACCAGGGCTCAGTCATGTTCAGTTGCTCTGTGACTGCCAACAGCAACTGGGAATTGTTTTATTCCACGGCTTCCAGCAAGGCTACTTGAAAGAAATTGTCACATTCTGTGCGGCAGCTCCAGAAATACTGCAGGATCAGGCACATTGTGTTCGCAACGCTCATATACACAGCTTGTATACACTACTGCTTAAGTCGATGTAACCTGCATCACTCTGAGGTGTGAAAAAGCCATCCCCCATGAGTGATGTAAGTTACATTGACTTAAAGCAGTGTCTACAATTACACGACGGAGAAAACTGTATCATGGGACATTCATGCCATTTTCCCAGTCACCGCTGCGTGAATGTTTTTCCCCCTTGCAGCATTGCAAAGCCTACCCAAAACACCCTGTGCTAGATGGCGATGAGTTGCACAGTGGGCTAGCTACTCATGGTGCACTGTTCTCTGCATTGATGCAAGCACTGGTAGTGAGAATGCATAACACTGACACAAGGAGCATAAGTTGGTTGTGTACGTCCACACTAATTACTGTGGCAGCTGACATAACTTAGATTGACTTAATTTTGTAGTGTAAACATACCCTTGCTCTTTTCACTTAGTATTTTATTATTGAAAAAGTTTGACAGTAAAAAGAATATAAATTAAAAGATTTAAAAGCTACTGTGGAGACTATCCAAAGCAGAAACAAAAATTGAATAATGTAAGAACGTACTTTATATAGGTACTGTGAACCTCATCATGCACCACTGATGTCAATGAAAGCTTTGCCGTTAACTTCATTTGGATAGTATCAATCCCTATAGTATTTCCCTTCACCCCATAATGGACAAACCAACAATTCCCTTCACCCCATAATGGACAAACCAACAATCCGTTAAAAATAGAATTGTACTCGTCTTGTATAAGCAATTCGCTTCCATGCCCCCAGAGGTTGGAACTATCCTATTTAAAATATTTACAAGTAATTCTGAATTTGTGTGTTTTATGTTGCCACTTTCAGTCCTTACAATCTAGTCTCTACATAGATATGATTGTCTAAACTGACACAATATGCCACCCTCATACAAGAATAAAGCTTATATATGGAAGCAACAATATATTTAAGTTAATTACAATGTTTCTATTGAGACCATATTTCCAGATAAAATATATTTTTATTAAGTCACAGTCTTAACAATCTTATTGCAAAATACTGTTGATGGGAGACCAAGTGTAGCAAAGTTCAAAGTTTAATTCTTCCATGTCATTTTATATGTTCTTTATGCCTTATTGGTGTCCATAATGGAATCTGGGAAGTACAGGATTTTCTTCAAAGTTATATGAATGGAATGCTGTAAATCAGTCAGCAGGGATGCATTATAACAGTATAGGTTTCCCCTTTCTACTTCTATACATAACACCAATAAATACTTGTCACATTATCTTTTGAATTACTAGATACTATTAAGCACTATTCAAATTAAACATTTTGAAGGACAACCAAGATGAATCCAAAAATACAGTTATCTGACATAGATCAGCTTTAATATGTGTTAAAAAACGAATGTAGCAGAGTACATAACCTACTTTGACCTAAACTTTTAATAATTGTCTGTCACATTTATCAGAGTTTTCTTAAAGAGATTAATCCTCACTACACTTACCTAGTAGCTCTGTATCCTAATAAGGCCCTGTGTCACATCTCTTTAAAAACTTGAACTCAACTGTATGAATGATTCCAGATTTTGTTCTAATCTTTTAAAAAAAAAATTAAAAAAAAAATTGAAAAATATCTCCAGATTTAGTTTGGAAATAAGTAAAATAGAACTATTGTGTAATATTTAGTACATTATAATACAGTACAAGTTTAAAATCTCTTATTTCCATTACTTTTCATTAACATTGGCAAAATAAGTTTTAAAAGTATAAATGGTATTCCAGAAGACTAGACTATTTTTATTAGAAATGACATATAAAGTAAATTTATAAAATACAATTATTGATTTGACACTGCTCTTTGTTAAGAAGAAAATTCTACAGCGAGGATAATAATCCATTCTGAAAATAAACTGACATTCTGCAAGACATGGGGTGTATAAAAGCAATGACATGTAAACAGAAAACACTTGTAAAAAAATCCAAAAACACATGGAAATCCACCAGAAGCATAACAAATATACTGTGCATCAACAAATCTTTAAAAAAGTCCAAACCTGTTTTTGTTCAATATTCGCTCATGCTGTAGTATGTACATATTTCTGAAGCCATATCTGATTTAAGCAAATTTAAATAAGCAGAGAAATCAGAAGTTGTTAAATCAGTTATTCTTACTCAGCTTCCTTCTTTTGTACCATAAATTTATATAGCTATTATACTAGCTTTGCAAAAACTGCCATGCAACTTTGTTATAATGCATAAATTTTGTGCCTCGACAGGCAATGAAAAGCACCCATAAAAAAAACACCTTGTCAACCCCAGATAAATGGGAGAATAGAATTTTCAAGTCTGATTGTATGACACGAACACACACAAATTCACAAGTTATCACTGATTTGAAGCGAAGTCAGAGGCAGAATTCATGTCAACCTTCATAATTTTCAAAAGTCCTTGAAACAAGTTAATCCTTCTATTACTGGTTTAGTTTTAAGACTATCCCAGGTATGGTTATTCCTTGAAGCTCACATTTCTGGTTGGGGGGAGGAAGAAGAAATTTTAAAAATATAAACATCTGCTTACAGTATTTTTATCCATTCAACCAAGGGTAAAATATATAATAATATTACCTGCTTCATAGTTTATTCCTAAATTACTAGAATCAGCCCATGATATCACCCACAGAATTTATTTTAATATATATTTTATTCTTGACACATTCGCACAAGCACTGGACAAAAGTAAAATGTAAGCCAAGGACAAGTAGAAAGTTATTAGGTTAGACTAAATGGCTTATAAAAAGGGGAAAAATTCCCAGTGCACAGTATAAAACAACACAATTGACAAAACATACTTCCACTGTGGAAAGCTGCAAGGAAGGGATAAATAAGAAGTAAAAGTGATCAGAGAGAGAAAGTGAAAAGTTCATGGGCAGGTCTGATTGCCAAGAAACAATTATGCATTGGACTCAGAGCTGCGATCGGACAAATCTTAAATTTGTGTATGAAATCAGAAATTTCAAGAGTATTTGGATTCAAGCAAAGTCCATGGAAAAAGTACAAATATGAAATGGTATCTCTTCTGTTAACTTTGTGCAATTTCGGGATTCTTGGTTCCTCTCTGATCTAATTAGACAAGTCAGCTGTGGTAGCATACCTGGGTACTAAATACTTTTTGAAAATAAACAGAGCTCAACTCACAATCCTTTCATTTTGACTTTTCACTGAGATGCAACGTGTAGCGGCGGGAGAGGTGGGTCACACAAACCTGTAACCAGGTTTGTACCATTGACAGGTCATATCTAAAACAACAATGCTTTGTAAAAATGTAGAGACATATATGAGTGTCCTGCAAATCTCCTGGACAGTAAAAGATGACAGGCTAGCTACAGATTCTGATCTACCTATGATAGACTGTGCCTTATCATGACCTTGAACGTTCAGACCTTGGCAATCAGAAATGGAAGAGTCCCCAAGATGCATCTTGGGAAGCTGGCAGTTTGTGCTTGAATCTTTCAAAAAAATCAAGGTTTTTTCTGCTTAGTAGCTTGGGCCTTGGCTTCCTGAGACCTCTGCTAATACAGAGGCCCAACACCTTCCAGGTATCCTTCAAACCAACCTAAAATAAAGATCATCATCTTGGCCTGTCCCTTACCTCTCTTGTGGAAGGTAGAGGGTTGGATAATGGATCTCAAGAAACAGAATGTGACCACACTCCTTTTTGCCTTAATGAGATTGTCCTCTGCCCAAATCCCCATTTAGCAAACTTTCAATCGGCTAAACTACCTACTGAAAGCCAAAAATCTCAGGCAGATATCTATGGGTATCAAGTGCATCGGAGGATTTCCACACTCGAAGCTAGGCCATTTCCAATCCCTCATAGACTGAATTCCGTACAAATTTGCAAGGGGAGAGAACTGATAAACTGGTATGACTTTTTCCAAAACTCATACTAGTATTTACCTATGTATCTATGCTATCTACCTTAGTATAAGATTCCTGTAACAGTGTATGTGTTGTTAACAGGTAGCTCTGAGTATGGGTTGTTGCTCTTCATTCTTAGAACATCCCAGTGTTAGAATCGTGATTCAGAGGTGCTGAACTATTAGGCTTGTCCTTGACCATCAATAATGTTACCATCAAGTGCTAATGTAAAAGGTAGAAGTAGTGGCACTCTTTAGCAGCGTGTGCTTGCATTTTGCCACCTTACACATGGCTAGAGTGGTATATGGATGGATTGGATGGGTATGATTTCTGGCTGGGAGCCCATAGTGGTTTTCTGCATGAGTTGGATGACCCTAGCCTCTCTCTACAAAAATTAGGAGCGTGGCTACTCTGAGGTAGAGAGGAAGGATTGAAGGCTGTCTTCTTCAGTACCCCAAATGTCGTGACATAAGAAATTCCTCCAGCTTTCAGGTTATCAACCTGACAAATCATTCTCAACTTTCCATGTAGTAGTTTCAGGTTACTAGATGAGATGATCTGTGTATCAAATGTGGAGCAGCTGTCAACCCTGGTCTTTGTGAGGCCATTAATGCTGAGAATATCAGAGGAAGGTGTGGTGAAGAGAGTGTTTAAGTGAGGTTTACTATAATCTCAGAGTAGCCTCTGTGCTTGGACAATATCTACAGCTGACTGGGCAAGATGCAGGGCATATGTCACCAAAGCTGAAGAAAGGAAACAAATTGATTAGACTGCACAAATACTCAAGCTCTGGCCAGTACAGGACACTGTGGATATGTTTACATAGCAACCAGACACCCGAGGCTGGCCCATGGCAGCCAACTTGGGCTCACAGGGCTCTTTCATTGCTGCGTAGACTTCTGTATTCTGCTGCATCCTGAGCTCTGGGACCCTCTCTCACCTTCCAGGAGACCAGAGCTTAGGCTGCAGCCTGAGCCTGGAAGTAGACATAGCAATGAAACAACCCCGCAGCCTGAGTCCTGTGACCCTGAGTCAGCTGGCACTGGCCAGCCATGGGCTTTTCTTAGCTGTGTAGACATACCCTATACAGTAACTCCTCGCTTAACGTTGTAGTTATGTTCCTGTAGTTAAGTCCCATTCCTCAGACGTTCTTGTTAAACCCTGGATTTATGCTGGAAAATGGCCCACCTTGATTATCATACACATTGTAAGGAGAGTGATCACTTTATATAAGCTATTACCAGCAGGAGAGTGGGGTGTGGGGAGAGAAAACCTGGATTTGTGCTGGAATTGGCCCACCTTGATTATCATACACATTGTAAGGAGAGTGATCACTTTATATAAGCTATTACCAGCAGGAGAGTGGGGTGGGGGGAGAGAAAACCTTTTGAAGTGATAAACACCCATTTTTTCATGGTCTGTGTGTATAAAAATATCCTCACTGCATTTTCCACTTTTATGCATCCGATGAAGTGAGCTGTAGCTCACAAAAGCTTATGCTCAAATAAATTGGTTAGTCTCTAAGGTGCCACAAGTACTCCTTTTCTTGTTCCTGAAAAACGCGACTTTAAGCGAAACAATGTTAAATGAATCCAATTTCCCCAACCCATACTCAGAGCTACCTGTTAACAACACATACACTGTTACAGGAATCTTATACTAAGGTAGATAGCATAGATACATAGGTAAATACTAGTATGAGTTTTGGAAAAAGTCATACCAGTTTATCAGTTCTCTCCCCCTTCCAAGAATTAATGTAAAGGGGGCGAGGGGATTAGGTTCCAGGGAAATTTTTTTCACCAGACAAAAGACTATATTTTTTATATATATATATACATACACACTCACACACACAGACAGTACAAGTTTTAAACAAACAATTTAATAGTGGTACATAGCGATGATGATTGTGAAGCTTGGTTGAGGTGGTGAAGTCAGAGGGTGGGATATTTCCCAGGGAATGCCTTACTGCTAAATGATGAACTAGCGCTCGGCTGAGCCCTCAAGGGTTAACCCATTGTTGTTAATGTAGCCTCACACTCTACAAGGCAGCACGAATGGAGGGAGGGGAGACAGCATGGCAGACAGAGACAGAGACACACACCGGTGTCTGAGAGAGAGAGAGAGAGATGCGCATTGCTCCTTTATGTACCTGACCCCACTCTAAGTACACTGCCTTTTTAAGTAGATCAAGCTGAGACGGCAGCTGCTGCCAGGAAGGTCTCTCTGTCTTGAGCCCTATCATGTGTCCCCCCTGCTCTATGGAAGATGGGGTAAGCGGGGTGTGGGAGCAGGGGGACACCCTGACATTAGCCCCCTTCTCTCCCGCCCTCCGCACAGCAAGCAGGAGGCTCCAGGGAGCAGCTCCAAGTCAGAGAGCAGGAGCAGCACATGGCAGTGAGGGGAGGGACAGCTGAACTGCCAGCAACTGATAGCTTGCTGGGCGGCTGCCAGACAGGGAACTTAGGGGAGCGGGGAGCTGATAGGGTGGCTGCCGGTCCACCCTGGTTCCAAGCCCCCACCAGCTAGCTCCAAGGGGCTGCTCTTCCTGCAAGCAGTGGACAAAGCAGGAGGCTGCCAAACGATGTAGTCCAAAAATCATGGAGCAGGTCCTCAAGGAATCAATTCTGAAGCACTTAGAGGAGAGGAAAGTGATCAGGAACAGACAGCATGGATTCACCAAGGGCAAGTCATGCCTGACTAATCTAATTGCCTTCTATGACAAGATAACTGGTTCTGTGGATGAAGGGAAAGCAGTGGACGTGTTGTTCCTTGACTTTAGCAAAGCTTTTGACACTGTCTCCCACAGTATTCTTGCCAGCAAGTTAAAGAAGTATGGGCTGGATGAATGGACTATAAGGTGGACAGAAAGCTGGCTAGATTGTCGGACTCAACGGCTGGTGATCAATGGCTCCATGTCTAGTTGGCAGCCGGTATCAAGTGGAGTGCCCCAAGGGTCGGTCCTGGGGCTGGTTTTGTTCAATATCTTCATAAATGATCTGGAGGATGGTGTGGATTGCACCCTCAGCAAGTTTGCAGATGACACTAAACTGGGAGGACAGGTAGATACGCTGGAGGGCAGGGATAGGATACAGAGGGACCTAGACAAATTGGAGGATTGGGCCAAAAGAAATCTGATGAGGTTCAACAAGGACAAGTGCAGAGTCCTGCACTTAGGACGGAAGAATCCCATGCACCGCTACAGACTAGGGACTGAATGGCTCGGCAGCAGTTCTGCAGAAAAGGACCTAGGGGTTACAGTGGACGAGAAGCTGGATATGAGTCAACAGTGTGCCCTTGTTGCCAAGAAGGCCAATGGTATTTTGGGATGTATAAGTAGGGGCATTGCCAGCAGATAGAGGGACGTGATCGTTCCCCTCTATTCGACACTGGTGAGGCCTCATCTGGAGTACTGTGTCCAGTTTTGGGCCCCACACTACAAGAAGGATGTGGAAAAATTGGAAAGAGTCCAGCGGAGGGCAACAAAAATGATTAGGGGACTGGAACACATGAGTTATGAGGAGAGGCTGAGGGAACTGGGGATGTTTAGTCTGCGGAAGAGAAGAACGAGGGGGGATTTGATAGCTACTTTCAACTACCTGAAAGGGGGTTCCAAAGAGGATGGCTCTAGACTGTTCTCAGTGGTAGCAGATGACAGAACAAGGGGGAGATTTAGGTTGGATATTAGGAAAAACTTTTTCACTAGGAGGGTGGTGAAACACTGGAATGCGTACCTAGGGAGGTGGTGAAATCTCCTTCCTTAGAAGTTTTTAAGGTCAGGCTTGACAAAGCCCTCGCTGGGATGATTTAATTGGGGATCGGTCCCGCTTTGAGCAGGGGGTTGGAGTAGATGATCTCCTGAGGTCCCTTCCAACCATGATATTCTATGATTCTATGATGTTATAAGGGAGCATTGCGAAACTTTAAAAGAGCATGTTCCCTAATTGATCAGCAACATAACAACGAAACAATGTTAACCGGGAAGACTTTAAGTGAGGAGTTACTGTATCAGCTCAGCGGCACAGACATGCCCCAGCTCCCCCTTACTGGTGAAGAGGTTTAATGGTTTTAGAATTTTAAATCTATGGATGTATATGGCAGTCCTGTTCTATAAGCAAAATCCCAGGAGCAGGAATCCATTGTAATACTTTGCTTTTGGAGAATAACTAGCATTTCATGTTTTCAGTCAATACTATTTATTTTGTTTAAAACACTATAAGAGTGTAACCATCATTTGAGTGTTTAAATATTTCATATGCACCAAAACATAAAATGCTGATTTCCTGCCCCCCATTTCAATCTAAAAACAGCTGTATTTAATTCTTCTGTGAACACTTAATCTTGACAAAAATCAACAAATTACTTACTTTTCTGCTGCTGCTCGATCGGTTGTTCTTACAATTGCATGCTCTGGAGAATGGGAAGGAGATCTCATTGTTGAACTAAGTGGAGATGAGGTATGTACAGAAGATGTGGACAGACCATGTCGACGCATTTCCTGAATTGCGCGCTCTCTACCAAGTAGACAATAATTTTATTAAACACTAATTTGTATGCACTTTTATCTTTATTACCACTATTAGCATTCATATTCCACCACATCATAATATTTCTCTGTAGAAATTATTAGACGATAAAAGAAAATGAAAGGTGATAATTTAATTGGATATCATATACACATTTTAAATAAAAATGTCTCAATTATATTTAAGGGACACAGTTCGCTTTTTAAAATTAATTGTTACTTTTAACACTTAAGGATATGATAAAAGGTTAGAAAAAAATTCTCTACTTTTTCAGTTTGTTTACTTTGTGAATTTGACAACACTTCGTGTAGTCAGTCTTGTTCTTCTGTAAACTCCGTATATTTGTTTTTTGTATGGGTCTCCCATACCTCAAGAGGTGAGGAAAAAATTACTTTAAAATGCAACTGTAAATCCACTGGATCTACCAGGAGTTTCAGAACTAGGTATAAAGAACAGGAGTACTTGGTGCACCTTAGAGACTAACACATTTATTTGAGCATAAGCTTTCGTGGGCTACAGGCCACTTCATTGGATGTATAGAATGGAACATATAGTAAGAAGATAAATATACAGAGAGAGAGAGAGAGAACATGAAAAGGTGGAGTAAGAGGCTAATTAATTAAGATGAGCTATTGTCAGCAGGAGAAAAAAATTTTGTAGCGATAATCAAGATGGCCCATTTAGACAGTTGACAAGAGGGTATGAGGATACTTAACATGGGGAAATAGATTCAATATGTGTAATGACCCAGCCACTCCCAGTCTCTTTCAAACCCAAGTTAATGGTATCTAGTTTGCATATTAATTCAAGCTGAGGAATTTCTCGTTGGAGTCTGTTTTTGAAGCTTTTCTATTCCAAAATTGCCACCTTTAAATCTGTTACTGAGTGGCAGAGAGGTTGAAATGTACTCCTACCAGTGTTTGAATGTTATGATTCCTGATGTCAGATTTGTTTCCATTTATTCTTTTGCATAGAGACTGTCCAGTTTGGCCAATGTACATGGCAGAGGGGCATTGCTGGCACATGATGCCATATATCACATTGGTAGATGTGCAGGTGAACGAGCTGCTGATGACGTGGCTAATGTGATTAGTTCCTATGATGGTGTCACTTGAATAAATATGTGGACAGAGTTGTCATCGGGCTTTGTTGCAAGGATAGGTTCCTGGTTAGTGTTTTTGTTGTGTGGTGTTTGGTTGCTGGAGAGTATTTGCTTCAGGTTGGGGGGCTGTCTGTAAGCGAGGACTGGTCTGTCTCCCAAAATCTGTGAGAGTGAGGGATCATTTTTCAGGATAGGTTGTAAATCTTTGATGATGCGCTGGAGAGGTTTTAGTTGGGGGCTGAAGGTGACAGCTAGTGGCGTTCGGCTACTTTCTTTGTTGGGCCTGTCCTGTAGTAGGTGACTTCTGGGTACTCTTCTGGCTCTGTCAATCTGTTTTTTCACTTCAGCAGGTGGATATTGTAGTTTTAAGAATGCTTGATAGAGATCTTGTAGGTGTTTGTCTCTGTCTGAGTGATTGGAGCAAATGCGGTTGTATCTTAGAGCTTGGCTATAGACAATGGATTGTGTGGTGTCTCCTGGATGGAAGCTGGAGGCGTGTAGGTAAGAACTAGGTATGGTACCTGAAACTACTTGTAACATTAAAAAAACCCAAACACCCCATCCCCCAACTTTGTAGTTGAGAATGTTCTTTTAGACCTCAGACGGCACTGAAGAGGATAGAAAATGACATCACTTGCGCCAATATCCAAGCTGCAACCATGGTGTGGGAATATAGGCCTACATTGGACCTGGGTGTATTATGATTTTAAATTGAGTTTTGGTGTTAGAACGGGTTAGGCCCAAAGCATGTAACCAAAAAGAATAAGATCATGAGACAGGGATTGTGTTAAACTTGTAGCAACTGTTAAAATATTAGCATGATCTTATTTAAGGTTTGGGTTGTGGTAACAGAAATAAAGAAAGTACAGCTAATTCAGAGGTTTTCAAACTGGGGGGCATGCTCCCTTGGGAGGAGGGCACGGAATGTATTCTGGGGGAGCGTGAGAAGCTTTAGGAAAAAAACAAAAAAACAACTTACTGTGCACATTTTACCCACATCAATGAATAACTAGCACAGCTGATTCCTCCAGACATACCAGGTCCCAGGATGGCACTGTGCCTTTTGATGGATTTCTGTTAAACTTGCATGGCATTATACAAAATTGTTGCCCTCTGTACATTAATCTGTTTGCTACAACGCAAGTGTGCACATTTAATTGTAAGCATCAAGCACAATTGCAGTTTTGCTTTTGCTCTTATTACAATGGATTGTTGGCTCTGTTTCAATCAATGCCTTGCTGTTTTTAATATTTAGTGAGAGTTGCATGTTGATTTTTTTAAAAATTAGTATATGCACTTGTGTGGCAGGCGGGTGAGGGGCATGTAAACTACTACAGACACAAATAAGAGAACCACTGAGCTAATTGGATACCAGATGCAGGTAACTGTTGATTTGTTTACTTTATCACAAATAAATGCTTAGTGAGTAGTTAGGGACAAAATGAGGTAAGAAAACCTTGATAAAAGAGGTCCAGCCATTACTCTTGTCTTGACAGGGGCAGACAACAGGGCTCAGCCTTATGCTGTTTCATTTGGCTTTAGCTAAGATCTGATACCCAGCAATAACATCACTTGTTTGTTACAGTATATACAAAAGCAAGGTTTTCTTGGGGTTCTTTGTCAGAGTTTTCACGGGAATCAAAACATGATGGGAAGGTGTCTCCTGGGCTTGATCCAATTGTAAGAATTTTGGCCAATGCTTTATAACTATATTGTTGCTAGGATATAAAATATGAGGGTATATATTCTTGTATTGGTATTCTGAACGTAATCAACACCAAGAGGTCTTTGGACTAACAAGAGAATGCTTGTGTGAAAACTGAGTTATGGTAAACCTTGACAAAATTATTAGGAAAGCTATTTTCAAAACACACGGTATTGCATTAGCAGCTACCTTAATGATGGGAAAGGAGGATCACCCCACTGAAACAAAAACAACACAGGTGCTTACCGTTCAAATCGTTCAGTTGTCAGTTGCCTTTTTAAAACATCATAGTCCGTCTGCAGCTGTGCAACTTTACTTCGAAGCATGGAAACTTCTCTATTATGACTGGTTCTAAAAATATCATGAGAAGTAACAAAGAATTTTCTTAAATTGTTGCACGCTTTCAGCTGGTATCTTAGAGGAATTAGGAAAAAGAGAAATGAACAAGGCAAACCAAAAAATGAAGTAAGAGGAGTTGTTACTTCAAATAGCTCAAAATAACAGAGTGAGAATCAGAAGTGTTGGGAAGAATTGAATAAATACAATGACAATTTACTGGATGAAGCTAACCTGGGAAAGACAAAAGTGTGAACTTGGAAGTCCTTCAATAAATTCATACTACAGTGCATCATATTCCTTTATAGATAAAAAAATACAGTAGAACCTCAGAGTTACGAATGCCTCTGAGGCGGTTTCTAACTTTGAAATGTTTGTAACTCTGAACATAATGTTATAGTTATTCTTTCAAAAGTTTACAACTGAACATTGACTTAATACAGCTTTGAAGCTTTACTATGCAGAAGAAAAATGCTTCTTTCCTTTTTTTTATAGTAGTTATGTTAGGGCTGTCAAGTGATTAACAACATGATTAATCGTGATTAATTTTTTTAAACCATAGAATACCATTTTTTAAAAATATTTTTTGATGTTTTCTACATTTTCAAATATATTAATTTAAATTACAACATAGAATACAAAGTGAACAGTGCTCACTTTATATTTATTTTTGTTACAAATATTTGCACTGTAAAAAACAAAAGAATTGTATTTTTCAATTCACCTCATACAAGTACTGTAGTGCCATCTCTATCATGAAATTTGAACTTACAAATGTAGAATTATGTACAAAAAAACCTGCACTGAAAAATAAAAATGTAAAATTTTAGAGCATGCAAGTCCACTCAGTCCTACTTTTTGTTCAGCCAATCGCTCAGACAAATAAGGTTGATTACAATTTTCAGGAGATAATGATGCCCTCTTCTTGTTTAAAACATCACCTAAAAGTGAGAACAGGTGTTCTCATGGCACTGTTTTAGCCGGTGTTGCAAAATATTTACGTGCCAGATGCGCTAAAGATTCAAACGTCCCCTCATGCTTCAAACACCATTCCAGGGGACATGCATCCATGCTGATGACAGATTCTGCTCAATAACAATCCAAAGTAGTGCGGACCGACGCATGTTCATTTTCATTATCTGAGTCAGATGCCACCAGCAGGTTGATATTCTTTTTTGGTGGTTCAGGTTCTGTAGTTTCCATATAAGAGTATTGCTCTTTTAAGACTTCTGAAAGCAAGCTCCACAGCTCGTCCCTCTCAGATTTTGGAAGGCACTTCAGATTTTAAACCTTGGGTCGAGTGCTATAGCTATCTTTAGAAATCTCACATTGATACCTTCTTTGCATTTTGTCAAATCTGTAGTGAAAGTGTTCTTAAAATGAACGACAAGTGCTGGGTCATCATCCGAGACTGCTATAAAAGGAAATATATGGCAGAATTCGGGTAAAACAGAGCAGGGGACATACAATTCTGCCCCAAGGAGTTCAGTCAGAAATTTAATTAATGCTTATTTTTTAACAAGCGTTATCAGCATGAAAGCATGTCCTCTGGAATGGTGGCCGAAGCATGAAGGGGCATACGAATGTTTAGCATATCTGGTACGTAAATACCTTGCAATGCCGGCTACAAAAGTGCCATGCAAATGCCTCTTCTCACTTTCTGGTTGCACTGTAAATAAGAAGAGAGCAGCATTATCTCCCTTAAATGTAAACAAACTTGTTTGTGTTAGTGATTGGCTGAACAAGAAGTAGGACTGAGTGGACTTGTAGGCTCTAAAGTTTTACATTGTTTTGTTTTTGAGTGCGGTCATGTAACAACAACAAATCTATATTTGTAAGTTGCACTTTCACAACAAAAAGACTGCACTACAGTACTTGTATGAGGTGAATTGAAAAATACCATTTCTTTTGTTTGTGATTTTTACAGTGCAAATATTTGTAAGCAAAAATAATATACACTTTGATTTCATTTATAACACAGAATACAATATATATGAAAGTGTAGAAAAACATCCAAATATTTAATAAAATTTCAATTGGTATTCTATTATTTAACAGTGCAATTAAAACTGCGATTAATCGCGATTAATTTTTTTGAGTTAATCGCATGAGTTAACTGCGATTAATCAATAGCCCTAGTATTTTTCCCTAACTTCATTTCCTGAAACAGATAAACCTAATCTGACTGAGAAAGTTTCTTTCCTGTAGCTGAAATGCTACTTATAATAGTAACTGGGAGGATGGAAGCCCACGTCAAGAGTCCTTGAGAGTTTGGGGCTCTTATGGAAGATTTGAACACACAAACAATGATTCTCTCAGAAACAATCTTTTGACCAAGCGTGGGGGGTTTGATTATGTAAATAAGTTGTTTTATACAGTTCAAAGATTTTTCACAATCAAAATACAAATAAAATAAAAAATGAAAAAATATTGGAAGAAATGTAGTTGTCTGTTTTAGAACTTACAGTTTGCTCTCTGCAAGTGTTAGTTTGTCTTTAAGTAACTGAATTTCTGAATCTTTCTCATGGGATTTTAAATGATTCTGAAACTCTTTGTCTCTGCTAGTAGCCAGCAGCGTTTCAAGATTCTGAATAGTAAGTCGTTCGCTGGACAATTGCTTTTTTAAAAGCTCTGCTTCAGACTTTATATCTTCTAATTCAGCCAGAACCTATGGTATAAAACAATTACTACAGTAAATTTGTTACTAGCCTTACATTTAATGTTCACTATTTATGTAGTATTTTACAAACAGATACACACAGATACGTGTATGTACAGTTCTCACATTCTCTCTGAAAAAGACTAATTTACAGTTTATAAAATTTTTTTAACAGACAAGAAATTATATTAAAATGGGAGTTAAAATTAAAAATACATATCAATTTTAATGTAAGGGTTTAGAAAAAACACATTACAGGAATGTTTTCATAATCCCTAAAATAAGCCTTAGAAACCCAGGAAATTCAGAATTAAGATTAAATGTATAAGAAATCTAAATGGTTAAGATGGAAATATTCAGTTAAGGCACCCAAACAATCTTGTGCCTTGTAGTGACAATACAAAAAGGAATAAATCTGGACCCACAAACATTAAAATGCCTTAACCATAATGGTATGTTCAATACATGATTATTTTAAACTTAATCTTAACTCTGCTAGTGTCACCATTTTTAACCTGAGGGTTTTTTATTTGTCATGTAACTTCAGAATTAGATACATTATATTAATTATTAAAATTAGTCACTTTAATAGACATAAAAACAAACCATCATGATCTAAATAAAATGTATAGTAGGTTAATACTCAGTAGAAAATTTAAAGATTGTACAATATATCAAGAATTAGTGGACTAACATGCATCTGTTTGTTATATGCATGCGTGCGTGCGCACACACTTATTTCCTATTCTAAAGGAGCCCCAGTGAAGCATATGTGCATGTCAGAAATGATTACTAGTAAGGGGGGGAAAAAGAATTAGAGCTCCCCCAAGTAAGGAAATCAAATTGTGTATCTGTGCTATAACAAGAGCTATATTAGTCGTTGCTTCTTACCCTTTCATAATCCAGGTTTTTGGATGTTAGCTGGCGTGAAAAATGTTCTTTGCTAGACTCAAGTTTCATGCACAGTTCCCTCACAGAAGCCAGGTCAGCTAATACAGAAGACTTTTCTTCTTGTTCGTATTTGAGATCCTCTTCCAATCTGGACATATTTTTTGTAATTGAAGAGAGCTGAGATTCATATGCTTGGTGTGCACTGATATGCTAAATGAAAACAGACAACAGTTAAGAGGTCATGATTTTTTTTCCCCAGTGTTAAAAGTTGCATAACAAAGTTACATACATTTAAGTATCTTTTCCCTGAGCTCTAAACTGAACTTTAGACTACCTTACTTTTTTTTTTTCTTCTAAATCATGGTTTAAAAAAACCAACAACCCTAAAAACCAGGTTTCTCAGAAACTTTTGCAACCATTTGAAGGACTACACAGATATTAAACAAAATGCAGAAGTAGACTATATTGGTGTTTCAGAAGAAAATTAAAACTTAAAAATTGAAGACTGAACTCCATCTTTTAATTAAGAATGTCAGACAAACGAGGCCTGTCTCTGCTTGGCTGTTAAAATCTTTTTGATCTTCAGAAAGACTGTTTCTTCAAATATGAAATCCTCATTTGATATAACTGGAATAATCTAATATGCTGTTATAAGAACCAAATGTTTGAACTAATACTTAACTCTGAAAAATATCACAAGAACATTTTGTCCCATGAGGTGAAATGGAATTATTGGAAGATATAGTGGCAATATTTATTCACATCTATTGAGATCATGCAATATCTAGCTCCTCCATCTTGAAGTCTTCATATAAGCTCTACCAAACAGTTCCTCCACAGGAATGTAAACCTGCTCTACTTAACAACAGTTACTCCAAAGGGCAAGATTTGGTTAGGTTCCAGGGAATTTTTTTCTGCCACAGAAAAGACATTATATACATATACAGTATAAGTTTTAAATAATTTTAAACAAACAATTGAATACTGTACTTACCAATGATGATTGTGAAGCTTGGTTGAGGCAGGGACATAGTGGGGTTGTGGCATGGGGGCTTGCCCTGCTCCGCCTGCTGGGCATTCCAGCCACGGAGCACTGGGCTGGCGGAGGGGGGGAGCCAAACAACATTATAAGGGAATGTTGCAAGACTTTAAAGGAGTATGTTCTCTAATAGGTCAGCGACCTAATAACGGAACAACATTAACTGGGACGACTTTAAGTGAGGAGTTACTGTCAGTGGTGACTAAGTGCCACAGTCTGCCTTTCCTACTCCAGAGGGGTGCAGATGTACCCTGGGCCAGAGTTATACCTGTTGCAGCAAATGCCCTCAGGCATACCAGCACAGCTGCACTGGCTGGTACATTAGGTGACTGGAGCTAAGGTTTTACCCATTCCCAAACCTTCCCATCCATATACACTGGGTAGGTGGGGAGAGTGGTGTGAGTAACCTCAGAAAAAGAACAGAGGAAACAAAATGCTACAGACATTTCACCATCAACTAATCACAATTAACCATCAAGGATCTTTCAAATACTTCAAAAAATAGATACACATTGTAGTCTTACTGTTCTTAGTATTGTAGATTTAATAGAATAATCTTGTACATTTGTTTTCTAAAGAACTATGTTTTCTGCTTCCAAAATTGCTGTTCCTATTCAGCCATATCCTGTTGCTGTTTACATGCAAGTATACTTCAGTGCTCTATTTCATATGAAATAGAGGTTGTCCATGCTGCCTTACAACTGCTCAGCTACAAAATCAAACTCTGATTCAGAGGACAAAGGTATTGCCTCATTCAAAACCTCAATCTATTCACTAGATTCCACATCAACTCCAGTCCCTAACCACAACACAAAAACTTCTTCAACTTCTCTGATTTATGTAAAATAAATGGTAATTTCAGACAGGGTCCATTGAGTATGGTCAGAGATTTAAGTAACAATAGTATAGCATTACAGTGTGCTAATACTGGTTTGCATTTCTCTGCAGCATCTTGCACAAAGGGGGCATTGATCTTTGACTTTGGCTACTAGGTACTACTAAGATATCAACACCACCACTACTACTGCCTCTATGATTATCACATGGAGCCTTTCAGTCAAGGAACTCAATGCACTTTGAACAAATAATTAATCACGCCCTTGTGAAATACTGCAGGCAAATATCACACCTATTTTATGGACAGGTAACCTAAAAGGCTCTTACATACAGGCAAACAATCTTTTTTCCCCCTAACAACTGAAAATCTATCGCTGTGGCATCAACAGTGAGTTAAGCAGAATAAAAATGATACTACTCTAGCCAGAATTGCAGTTACCATTTCAAATATTCTGTGTCTGCCTTCAAAACATTCAAGGATAGAAGTTAATTTCCATGCAAGCATAGAGAATGTTCCTTATCTTTTATTTAAAAACAAACAAAAAGAGCAATTAAGTATAAACTGTTTTCCTTGATAGGATTCAATTTTATTGGGGAGTATTGGTTATTACCTCTTGAATTTCTTTTTCTAAAAGTTCCACTCTCTCTCTAAGATGTCTTCTATCGGTATCTACAGAGAGGAGTTCAAGACGTATTGAGCTGCTTTCTCCCTCAGCTTGATGGGCCTTGACTTCCCAGTCCTCAGCTTGGCTGTGGAGTGTTCGGAACTTCTCTAACAAATCTTGATTTTCTTGTTCCTAGTTGAAATAAAATTAATCACTCTATAATAAACTGTGTGTCACCACAACAAGTGCCTTGTACCTTCCAGTCATTTAACATTCTTTGTGTCTGGAAGTCGCTTCTGTTACACTACTTCAGAGGAAGGGAGTGGCCTTCGCCATATCCCTAACCCTGTAGGCGTTCATCTTTCTCTCTCCCTGGACAGAGTACATAGCTTTATTCCTTTTGCAAGTGCCAAGCAGCAAATGTATCCCAGATACAGCAGCCCAACTCAGTTTATATTAGAAGTGGGTTTTTTAAGCAATTAACAGAATAGACACTTGTTTGATGATACAAACCTGTCAAGGACACCACAAAAATACATTAACAGTATTTTTTACCTCATATTTTACCTCTTAAGGTAGGAATTTCTTGCCATTCTCAATATCAAAGCTATGTTGCTATTATCATTTCTACCAAAGCTGCAGTGTATCTGGCAAAGATATCCCTAAAAGACCATCAGCCCGGCCTATTAGCTCATTTTATTAGCTCTTCTAGCTTTAAAGTTTTCAGTCACTACAATAAATACTCAAGTTTGGATTACTTTATCCTTCTCTCAGTACTCTGTTCTTTTTTTTTTCTCATCTAAGGGTGCTATCAAAAAGGATCATATTTCTTTCCAATCACCAAGGTCTCTAACAACTTCTTCCTAGCTACATCTCTGGGTTTGTATCCATATTTTTTCTTTGACCTTTCAGCTACTTCAACCACATCCTGCTTATTAAAATTTTATCCTCCCTTGCTTTTCATGACTCTGTTCTCTCCTGATTCCACTCCTACCTCTCTAATCATTCCTTTGGCATTTCTTTCAGCAGATACTCTTCTCTTCTCTCGATGGAAGTTCTATAGAGCTCCATCTTTGGAGCTTCTTCCATTACACTTTCTTGATACTACTATTTTGTATTACAACAGTGCCTAAAGGTTCCAGTCAGGACTGAGGCCCCTTGTGGTAGGCACAGAACAAGTATATATTTCACATAAAAAATCCCTACTTTTAACAAATATTCTTAAGGTTTCAAAGTCCAACATCCAAAAGTCAGGAAATGCTAGAATTAAGGTTGCCTGTGCAACCTTATTCAGCAGCCTTGTGTGTATGCATTTGACATAAAACAGCCTCTGACTATATAATCACATACAGTTTTTTTCTCCATAGGAAACCTGCCTCATTCAATCCACAAAATGGATGGTGCTTAGTGAGCAGCTATTCAACATTTTGTTTTATCCAGATTTGTCAATACACTCATGCCTTGTTTATTAGGCACTATTTGAAAACTATTATGAAGACAGGATTATTAATTTCTCCTCAGGTATTTCTATGGTACTTATTACTAGAGTATCTAAATACTTGGCAAAATTAATTTATTTTCACAACATACCTGTGAGATAATGGGTGGTATAATCCATTTTACAGATGGGGAGCTGAATAACAGAGATTAAGTTCAAAAGTGTCCAGTAATTTTGGGTGCCCAATTTGAGATGACTAGGACCTGATTTTTCAGAGAATTTAGTATTATATAGAACTTTGTGTTCAAAGCACAGCGCCTATTGGTTTCAGTTGCAGCTGTGAGTGCTCAGCATTTCTGCTTTTGAGTGCTTGACTAAGATGTGGTTTCTTTAATTTAGGGTGTTGTGACAGTCTGTACCCTATGTTCACCCTTTTACAAGACCATGTTAAATTTTGTACAAAGCATATTGTGTAAGGTATCATTTGAAAACTCATTATTTGCTGTATTGTCCTTGTAAAATGTGTGCGGCAGGATAGTGAGTTTGTGTGTGTGGTTTTTGGAGAGGGGGTGAGGGGGTGAGAGAACCTGGATTTGTGCAGGAAATGGCCCACCTTGATTATCATGCACATTGTGAAGAGAGTTGTCACTTTGGATGGGCTATTACCAGCAGGAGAGTGAGTTTGTGTGTGTGTGGGGGGTGGAGGGTGAGAAAACTTGGATTTGTGCTGGAAATGGCCCAACTTGATGATCACTTTAGATAAGCTATTACCAGCAGGACAGTGGGGTGGGAGGAGGTATTGTTTCATGATCTCTGTGTGTATATAATGTCTGCTGCAGTTTTCACGGTATGCATCCGATGAAGTGAGCTGTAGCTCATGAAAGCTCATGCTCAAATAAATTGGTTAATCTCTAAAGTGCCACAAGTACTCCTTTTCTTTTTGCGGCAACACTGTATGTAAAGATATGAGACTCCATTGTATAATATTATCAAGACATGTTCAAACATGTTCTGGTGGGCAGTCACAACAAAGTTCCCCAGAGAAAAAGGCTAGCCAATGCCCTGAGCTAGGTGTCAACGAGATCAAATTTTGACCACCACCTGAATAAGTGGCCAATCTTCAGCAGGAGAGTGGATGTGGGCAAAAGATCTACATTTTGACAAAGAAGCAGCTTAAGGTTCCTGGCAACACCAAATTTCTGTCTTCTGACTATCAGCAAGAGATGATTCTTGTGCAAGAGAAAGGGTTATGAGGGGAGAGGACAGATGCCCCAAATCTTCTTTCCCTTTCTCTCTACCAACAGCATCAACAACACTTGAAGAAAAGATGCCGCACTGGATCGGGGGGAGATCCTGACTGAAGGATTCAGACAGAAAAACTGTTGGAACTTGTATTTCCTTGTAATCAATTCTGACTTATATGCCTCATTACTCGTAGTGACTTAAAAATCTATCTTTCTGTAGCTGATACATTTGTTTTATTGTTTTATCTAAACAAAAGTATTTGGATTCAAATGTTTGAGAGACTCCATTTGGGATAACAAGATTTGTACATAGCATTTTCTATTAATACATGACAGGCTTTGTATGAGCTTGTATTGTCCAGGAGGGCTCTGGGCAGTACAAGATGCACATTTCTGGGGGAAAGTACAGGAATAGATCTCACTTTTCCCTGTTTGTTGAAGTAAAGGACCATCGTCATATTTTCCAACATTATGAGGACATAGTAACACTGGATAAATGGGAGAAAGGCTTTGAAAGTGTCTTGGACTGCCTGTAATCCCAGAACACTGATGTGCATCCTGGCCTCTCAGGGTGTCCAAGTGCCCTGTGCTGTGTGGCAATCCATGTGGGTTCTCCATCCTAAGAGGGAAGCATCTATAAGATTGTCCTGTATGGTGAAGGGGAAAAGGAAACGAACACCCAAAAATATTTGGTGGCAATTTTCCCACCATAGTACAGATGATGTTAGTTTGTAGAAACTGTTACCATGGTGTTCACAGACTCTCTGCTTGTTGAGTACGCTTGAAGTCATGCTTGCAGGCAACAAAGGTGGAGTCTGGCGAATGGCACGATGTAAGTTCATGAAGTCATATGTTCCAGGTGAGACAGAGAAATTCTGATTGGTGTTCAAGGGTTGTTCATGACCTGATCTATGAAGTCGTTCCCTGCTTGGAATCTGTCCATCAGCAGATAAGCCCTTACCGTGACTGAATTTATGGATGCTCTGATGAAGTCTATAGTTTGTGCTGGAGTGAAAGCAGAACCAGGTTTATGCTGACCCGTAGGGAAGACAGGAACTGAAGCATTGAAGAAGTTGACTCATAGGCTTCTTGACTTATATGGGCAATGAGAAGCCAGTCATTGAGATTGGGAAAATGGTGAAACCACACCTGACATGGGCTGCTACTACCATAAAGACTTGGTAAAGACCCTGGAGTGGTTGCAAGGCCAAAAGGGAGCACTCTGTATTGAAAGCAATTAGGGCCTACTATGAATCTGAGAAAATGTCTCTGAGCGGGGTGAGCATACACATGAAAGTATGTGGCCTTCACATCAAAAGCTGTAAATTAAGTTCCTTTTCTAGGTATGGAATTATAGATGCTAGTGTGAACATGCAAAATTTCAGTTTGCGAATAGAGTGGTTGAGATGGCGGAAATCGAGAATGGGTCTCCAGCCACCGTTTTTTGTTATTGGTGTGTTCTTTTGGTTTTTTTTTTTTTTTTGAGTATTAGAAGGAATGATGAGTAAAACCGCTTTCCTTGGTGCTGAAGAGGTACCTGATCTATTGCTCCTTACTGTAGGAGGGATTCAACTTTCTGTTTGAGAATCTCCTCATGAGAATGGCCCATGAAATGGGCAAAGATAGGAGTTTTGGAGGGGATAGGTAAGTAAGTTTGATCGCATAACCAGAATGGATGATGTCTATTACCCACTTGTCTATTATTTCACTCCAGTTGTGGGAAAACAGTGCCATTAAGAAAGGTCAAAGAGTGGTCATGGAGTCCCCCAATAGTATGGGGTACAATTGGTTCCGAGACAGGTGCTGAGGTGGAGGTTGGTTCCATACAGATCCTAGTTTCTTGTCTAAGAAGGTATCTTTCAGAGAAGGAGACACAGGTTCTTCTGGTGGTTCAGTGTCTCCTGAGAAAGAAAAGACCAATTCTGTGTCTACTGGCAGTAAAGTTATGTTGGAAGTAAACAATGGTTGGAAGATGCAAAGGGAGACAGACTCCTTCCATAACTTGCATATACTGGTGGAGTCAGGACCTGATAGAAATGGTCCTGAGAATCAGAGAGAGCAAAAATGTCATCGGTATAGAGTAAGTCTCCACTCTCCCAGGAATGCGAGGGGTCCTGTTCACTCAAACTGATGGACCTGGAGCAGTTTGTACCATTGTTTGGTGAAGCAGTGCCGGTACCATTAGTGGCTGAGGTTCCTGATGGTTGCCTTTTGCTGGTACCATTGGTTCCCGGTGTTTAAGTTTAGTTGCTATTGGAGGTACTGTTGCCACTGTAGTGTGGTCTGGTACAGACAGAGCTCTGGATTTGTGAGCTTTCTTGTGACAACCCTGAGACTTAGGATATTCCAAGTCCTTTTGGGCTAAGCAAGAAGACTTACTTGACTTAGGGAGGCTCTATCTGACTTCTTTTAAATGGGCTCAGAGGAGGATTTGCTCTAGTGTTTAAGAGAATGCTCCTTGTCTTCCCAACAAGACCCTAACAAGTGATCTGTGGAAGTAGATTCCCTCACTCCTAAGTCAGGCCAATATACAGGAGACGGTCCCCTGACTGGAGCCTCATGGCCAACTGCAGCCTCATGGCTTTCTCCATAAGGTGCTTCTTAAGATGAAGTTCCCACCTCTTTGGGGGAAGAGCAGCAGATTCTGCACTTTGCCATGATGTGAGCGTCCCATAGGCTGTACAGGTAGTGTTGATAGTTTCTACTGACCAAGAAGGAGTGCAGGAAAGTAGTATAGATTTTGAAGCCCGGAGTTCTGGGCATAGTCCAGTACCGGTAATGAGATATGGGGAGGGAGAGTTCCCCAGGATGGGGAATATAACTAACTAATAAACTTAGCTAAATACTATAGAGTAAAACTCTAAACCATTTACAGACTGAAGAATAAAGAGGGAAAGAGAAAGTTCTGGACAGTGGAGGATCCAACCTAAGCCAAGCAGTGATGAGAAGGAATGGGAGAGGCAATTGGTCTGTTCCGTCCATTATCTCCTTGGCTGGAGGCATGAGGAGAGCAAGGGCACATGTGCAGACTAATGGACCCTGCTTTCAAAAATTCTCTGACTCCGGGCCATGGAGAGCACACATACCCACCGTGGAATACACAGAGACCACCACTCGAAGAACATCACTGTATTTTGATTCTAATAATTCCCGAAGCAGAATTTTTTTACTTTGCAAATTTGGAAATATTTTTTCATTGATTTGTGTGTACAGTGAAAATGACATTTAGAGATAAAAATCTAATCCTTCCAAGCCTGATTAAAAATGATCATTAGATCTTGCTTTGTTGCTCATAGCAAGGAAGTAATGCTAGAAATATATCACTATCTATGCTGTAAAACATCCAACCAACCAAACGTGAGGATGCTTCTCCTCACCATTGCTGACAATGTAACTATTATCAATGAAGTCTGCCAGACTGTCTTAAAGCCTGTAATCTAACAGGGTTTTCCATACATACATTACTAGTTTTAAAATAAAGTGAAACATCTACAAATCTTAATTTTATTGTAGGCTAATTAAAACATGTCATAATTGAAACAACATTTATTAAAAACACACAAATGCCAATTTACAGACTTTATTTCCTCACCTTCGAAGCCATTAAGCTTTCAAATCTAGAGACTTCAGTTATGTAATTATGAACTCTAGTCTTCATTTCTTCTTTTTCACGTACTGCTTCTTCTAGTTCAGTAGTGACTGTCTAAAGAGATTACATGAAAACTGAATAGTTTATTAAAATAAAATATACTAAAGTACGCATGCCTGTGAAGTGCCCTATATTTTTCTTTATTCTGCTCTGGAGTTGTTCATTCAGTAAATCTGATTTCCATACACCACCCTGTTAAATTCTACATTGATCAGGACATGGAGGTGAATAAACAACAGAGAATGGATTTTAATTGGCAGGCCACAACTTTATTTAACAAAACACTTGGGAAATGGTGTTATGCCCCCCTGTTTTCACATACCACTTATTTCACTGGATTCAACTTGGAAGAGTTTAAACAGGCAAGGGCGGAGGGGTAAGAGCCAACCAGCTAGCCCATTCTTACATCCCCAGCCAATCGAAAGGCAGTTTGCCCCTGGGGGAGAAGGAGGACAGCCCCCACCCTGTGAACATCCATTAAAGTTCTTTCAAGATCCCTCCCCTTTTGACTATAGGGGAGTGGCATTTTCCCTACTTTCTCAGTTGAGTAATCTGAAGCAGAGAGGGAGGAGTGACCTAAGCAACAGACTCTTATTGTTACTTTCACAAGGTCTCCGTTTACACAGTTTTCAAATTAATGCTCATGACTCAAAAATCAGAAGATTAACAAAGTGGCTGAAACTTAGACTGAACCACAACCAGAAAGAATTTTTTTGTGAAGCGTCTAAATTAGCATTTGTTATTGTGCTGGTTAATTCAAACTAACTAGGAATCAATTAACTGGAGTTACAACACAACCAAAAGCTTTAGTCAGATAATTTTAGTTCTATTAATATATCCTATGACCCAATGTTTTGCAAGTTAAAAAAAACAAAAACAAAAATTTGTTTAGAACTTTTTTTTATACTTCAGTAATCCATATCCAGATTTATTTTACAATTAAAAATAATGTTTTTCTTAATGGAGAATGAAGCATTCACAAGGTTTAAAAAAATTCTTAATGGTTTTGAAAAGAACTTTTTGAGCAAACTCAAACACTATGCCATAGAATCATAGAATATCAGGGTTGGAAGGAACCTCAGGAGATCATGTAGTCCAACCCCCTGCTCAAAGCAGGACCAATCCCCAATTTTTGCCCCAGATCCCTAAATGACCCCCTCAAGGATTGAACTCACAACCCTGGGTTTAGCAGGCCAATGCTCAAACCACTGAGCTAACCCTCGCCCCATCTTTCTTACTGATTTAATTATGACCATCATATTTATGCTTGATGCCTGATGCTTGAACCCCAGGATGCACAAAATTTGAAAGACATTGATGCACCAAAAGGTCAGTCAAACCTGATGAGTTCCTTAAACTGTCTCCATTTTACATGTAGACAGGTGGATTAACATTCTTCTTTAATTCACAAGACCACCTTCTGAAGTGTAATTATTACATGGCATGTCTTAAAAGCCAATGGTGCATTAAGAAAATAAGCATATTCTCAAAGTGTTAGAAGTTAATTCAGTGTGGGTCCTCTGATGGACACAATCAGTCCAACAAGATGGGTTTTCATCTACATTGCATTTGAAGAGGTACAAGTAACAAATAAAAACTTAAATTTCAGCCTAAAAATACATTTTCAAAGAGCTAGGATTGCCTGAGACAGAAAGAGTTTAGAATGGAAAGTCCATCTCTATTTTAACTATAATGTTTCACGTATGACAATGGTGTAATAAAATAATAATAATGTGCATGCTGAAAGCTCACTGCTATACATGTTGGCCTTTTTCTACACACATTGAAGGACACTGCCATGTGATAAGGGGTTTATTCCTATCAAAGGTGTGGGGAAAATTATGCATGTAAATGCCACACATGTCAATGGGAGAACAAACCTTTTGGTACTTGAGAGGAGAATATAAGAATTGAATGCATTTTGATTCCACAGGTGACCAAATAAATGAACAAGTTCTTAAATTTGCAGATATTTAAATTCAGCCTAAATATGTTCATTTCAACTCAACTGTTCTTAATATTCTAGTATTAACAAGAATGCAGAACAGCAAAATATTCAAAATGCATAATAGACTATAGCAGTTTTGGATTTAGTAATACATGCAGACAAAATACAAGTAATCTCTGATGCAGAGATGGTATTATCCCAATGCCCCCTCCCCTAAACACACACTACAAAAGTGAATGGGGGGCCGGGGGGGCAGGGCTTGAGCTGCTCAGGGCCCTAAGCAATTGCTTACGCCTAACACCAGCTCTGCTTTGGTGTACTTCATTATCAGGCACTACTTTCATACCTGGTTTTCTCTGGTCATTATCGCTAGATCATCTTGTAATCTTCTGTTTTCCTTCAGAGCCATTTCCTTCACTCTTCCTGTTTCTGCAAGCTCTACCTGAGATGCATCAAGCTGGCGACGGAGACTAGCTATCTCCCGATCTCTGTTACTCAGCGCCTCCTTTAGTTGGCTATCAAATGGGTGATTTTGAAAACCTTAAATAAAATTTCCCTTCTTGCATTATAGCATATACTGCTTCAAAATGTTAGATAAGCTCTGAATATACAAAAGCTTTAGGAGCAACTTACTAATTTATTTATTGTTCAGAAGGTAACTATCAACCAGTGATATTCAGACCTCAGTAGTTCAAGAGCCAAATTAGCAATCAACATTACACAAAAGAGCCATGGTAGTGTGAATTTATTGTTTCATTTACTACTTATATATAATATAAAATAATACATTATTCTCACAGCAAAATCACTGACCAAATATTCTACAATTGGTTTATAACATAGTAAAAGGTTTCAGAGTAGCAGCCATGTTAGTCTGTATCCGCAAAAAGAACAGCAGTACTTGTGGCACCTTAGAGACTAACAAATTTATTAGAGCATAAGCTTTCGTGAGCTACAGCTCACTTCATCGGATGCATAGAATGGATTCCATTCTAATAAATTTGTTAGTCTCTAACATAGTAAAAGCATCTTGACTGGTTAATAATTAACTCACACAGTGTTTTAATATCATGTGCTGCAAAGAGCCACAGGAGACACATTAAAGAGCCACCTGTGGCTCCCAAACCTCAGTCTGAGTATCACTGTTATAAACAAATTACCACTACATGGATCTTGTGCCCCCATGTGTGATGGATTAAAATTTGCATAGCTTAGAGTAAATTGTTGAACTGCCTACCAGCATAAAGTGCTTAACTGCTTGTTGTGGCTTGGGCAAGTCATCACTGAAGCATGTAGAACTGTTGACGATTGGGCGAAATGTAATTAAAACTGGTGGGTGTAACTGCCGTCCTTCATGTAAGATGGCTGTAAGTAGATCTGGACAGGAATTTTCTAACAGTTTTTCCACTGGAAAATACTGATTCATCTACCCAAAACTTCTCCTTTGAAAGGGGTGGTTTCAACAAAAAAAAACTTCTGTCAAGAAGGGTTCTCAGGACCAGGATGGAATTCCTGCTCAAAACCAGAGAAAGAGAGAGACTTCCGCATGGTCCTCACCTAGGCTGCTGGTGGCATAAGCTAAGAAGATGCAAGTCATTGAATTAGGCACGATGGGGACTTGAACCTAGGTTTCCCACATCCCACTTGAGTGTCCTAATAATTCTCCTGTGAGTCTCTCTCTCTCTCCTGTTGGAGTGGTTCAACTTTGTATAAATAATTAAATATTTATTGGGTTAGAAAAAGAAAGATTGACTATAGCCCAGTGATCCGGGCACTTATCTGGTATGTGGGAGACGCAGGTTAAAGTCCCTGGTCCAATGAATATTTATTTATTTATACAAAGTGGAATGGCTCAACAGAAGAGACAGACTCATCTGGAACAGCCAATAACCTGGTAGTTAGGGCACTCACCTGAGATATGGAAGACCTAAGTTCAAGTCCCTGCTCTGCCTGGTTCTCCCATGTCTCTACATCCCAGGTGAGTGACAAAATCACCAAACTATGGGGGACAAAGAGGGGAAATGGATTTCAATTTTTTTTGAAAGGTCAGTTTCATCCCACTATGGAATAGGAAATTTTTCAAAATTGCTGAACTTCTTAGGAAAATTGTTTCCTATTCAGCAATAGCACAAGAAACAGTTAAGTTCCTTTGTAAAACAATAACAGCTTCCATCCCAAACACAGGCATGGCACTGCCCAAAACAAAGGCATACTTAAGGGCATTCAGGAATTTAAATTAAGCGAGTGGAGGGGGCTAGGCTGGGTATTGTTTCTAATAGAGGTTATGTGCATGTATGCGAGAGAGAAGCGGAGAATTGCTCCAATCCCTCAGACAGAAACAAACACCTATAGGATCTCTATCAAGCATTCTTAAAACTACAGTACCCATCTGGTGAAGTTAAGAAACAGACTGACAGAGCCAGAAGGGTACCCAGAAGTCACCTACTACAAGACAGGCCCCACAAAGAAAATAACAGAACGCCACTAGCTGTCAACTTCAGCCCCCAACTAAAACCTCTCCAGTGCATCATCAAGGATCTACAACCTATCCTAAAGGATGATTCCCTTACTCTCACAGATCTTGGGAGACAGGCCAGTCCTCGCTTACAGACAGCCGCCCAACCTCAAGCAAATACACACCAGCAACTACACACCACACAACAAAAACACTAACTCAGGAACCAAACCCTGCAACAAACCCCGGTGCCAACTCTGTCCACATATCTATTCAAGGGACACCATCATAGGACCTAACCACATCAGCCACACTATCAGGGGCTTGTTCATCTGCACATCTACAAATGTGATATATGCCATCATGTGCCAGCAATGCCCCTCTGCGATGTACATTGGCCAAACCGGACAGTCTCTATGCAAAAGAATAAATGGACTCAAATCTGACTTCAGGAATTGTAACATTAAAAAACCAGTTGGAGAACACTTCAACCTCCCTGGTCACTCAATAACAGACTTAAAAGTGGCAATTCTTCAACAAAAAAACTTCAAAAACAGACTCCAAAGTGAAACTGCAGAACTGAAATTAATTTGCAAACTGGACACCATCAAATTAGGCCTGAATAAAGACTGGGAGTGGATGGGTCATTACAAAAACTAATTTTACCATAATAATTTCCTCCTACTGTTACTCACACCTTCTTGTCAACAGTTTGAAATGGGTTACCCTCATTAACACTACAAAAGTGATTTTTCCTGCCTTGGTATTCTACAGTTAATTGAATTGTCTCATTAGACTGACCCCCCACTTGATGGGCAACTCCCATCTTTACATGTACTATGTATATATATACACCTGCTACTGTATTTTCCAAATAAATTTGTTAGTCTCTAAGGTGCCACAAGGACTCCTCGTTGTTTTCAAAGAAACAGAGAAAAAGCAGGAAGCCAGACACAGCCTGAACAAGCACTGACAGCATAGCTGAAAAAAACCTAGAGAAAGCTTTTGGGCTGAGCGCTGGCTGAAAGGGGCCTGGAGCAGTGAGAAAAAAACCAATCTTTTCTAACTGCTGTTCTTCTCGATGCACTCCACATGTCCATTTCACTCTTGGTGTGAGTGTGTCTTGCACACCATTGTTGGAAAGGTTTCCCTCAGTGTTACCCGTTGGGGCAGCTCAAGTGCCCTCTATCACCGCACGCCACTATGTGCTGATATAAAAGGCCCAGCTGCCTCAGAGCTCTCTCAGAACCTTCTTGCCAAGTGGGTTGTGGAATTGATATGTGCAACACATCTCAAAGGAGAATAGTCACAAAAGGTCAGTAAACGTTTTTTATTTTGAGTGCATTCCATTCTTGGTGACTCACAAACTGTAATGTAGGAGGAAGGATCAGAGTTCATGTACACAGACTGGAGTGCAACTCATCCAAATTTAGCATTTTCTCTGGCGTACTGAATAATGGAATAACGGGATACAAAGACGTGAACTGCCGCTCTACAAATGCCGTTCTACAAATGTCCTGGATAGGGACTTGCACAAGGAACACAGTTGAGGCTGCTTACGATTTTGTGGAATGTGCCAATAGTTTGGCAGCCAGGATTACCTGCCAGATCGTAACAAACATGAATGCATGAAGTTATCCAAAATGAAAGTCTCTGGAAAGAGACTGGGAGACTCTTCATTCTGTCTGGTATGACAACGAACAGTTGGGTTGACAAACAAAACTGTTTACTCCTGTCTATGTGGAATGCCAACGTTCTTCTAACATCTCAGGTGTGCAGATGATGTTTCTCTCTATTTTCATGAGATTTTGGGTAAAACATAGGTAAGTAAATTTTCTGATTAATATGAAAATTAGATATCACTTTAAGGACGTAAAAAACAGGATTGTATAAGGCAGTTTGGATGTCAGAGCATCCTGGAAACTGGAATCCCCTCCGCATCCCATCAAAACACCTGTTTAGCATCCCCTGGGGATGTCATGGAGAAAGCATTAATGCAGAAGCAGAAGGAGGGGGAGGTCTACGTATATAACCCCAATTCTTCTTTCTCTGCAGGTCCTGCCAAGGAGCAGCAGCAGAGTAATGGTGGGTCTGCTGTGGGAAGAAGTGCTTTCTGGGTGGGGCTGGAGCATAGAACCCCAGACACTTTAGAGTTGCCCTAAAGTCTTTCAAGCCCTGGAGCTTAGGGTCAGTTTTCCCCAAAAACAGCAAGGATCCTTCAAAGTCTGTTGGACCTCCTATGTAAGCCTTAAGGTTTGCAGCCATGAGCTCTTGCACGTACCCACTGCACAAGCCATGGATCTAGCCGCAAAGTCCACAGCATCCAACACAGCCTGCAGTGAAAATCTAGCTACAGATTTCCCCTCCTCAACTAACGAGAACTCTTGCCTAGTGTCCTCTGGCAGCATGTCTCTAACCTTTAAAATGGAGTCCCAAACATTAAAATCATATTGACCCAATAGCGCTTGCTGGTTGGCAATTCTGAGTTGCAATCTCTCAGTTAAATAAACTTTTCTACCAAATAAATCTTTCTTTTTTTTTTGGCATCATTTGATTTGGGGGTCGCCCTTTGTTGTCCTTGCCATTCCCTTTCACTCGTCGCAGATACCACCAGAGCCCAGAGGAATGAGAATATAAGTATTCAGACCCCTGGGAAGGCACATCGTACTTACATTCGGCCCTTCTTGAGGTAGGGGGAAGGGATAAAGGGATCTGCCAGAGAGCCTTAATAGGGTCCATAATTGCCTCGTTAATAGGTAAGGCCACTCTCGAAGGCCCTGCTCTGGCCAAAATATCAACCAGGCAGTGTGAGGATTCTTTAACCTCCTCCATATGGATCCCCAGGCTTAAGGCCACCCTCTTTAACAACTCTTGGGGGGATCTTATAGTCATCTGGAGGAGGCCCTCTGAGAAGATTACAGGAAAGCAGGAAGAGGCGGACAGCCCAGGCTGAGGCTACTCTTCCTCCACTAGTTTTCCAGCAAGGTCCTCGTGAACCACCTCTTGCTGCTCAGTACCAGGCTCAGTACCAGGCAATAACTGGTGAGTAACTTGCCCCAT